CCCTTCGCACCAGAACCGCGAACGCAGGAACTGGCAGGACGGGATACATGCTGCATCAGTCAAGTTAGTTAATAAAGGTTTGTTCTGTCAACCTGCTAGGAGATGCGCTTGGACATGATGGAAGAACATGAGGACCGATTCCTTGCTTAAGTGCTCAGCATTGACGCTGGGATAGCGTCAGTATGATTTAAAGTTTCAATGCAGTTAGAAAATTTACCCATGTTTTTTTTTGGCAGGAGCAGATGCGAAAAGTGCGTGAAGAGAGGGAGGCAGTGGCAGTGGCAGCGTGGTTTTTGACTTGGTGAACTTTGGGTTCAATGTGTTTTGGTAGGAACTCCGCCACAAGCATGACCAGCGGACAGAGGCGAGGACTTCAATGACTTTCAACTTGTGAATGTCAAGTAAAATCAGCTTAGACTGTCATCTGAGTCATCTGATTCAGGACCTGGAGCAGCAAATCCGGAAGCACAAGCAGGAGCCAAGTAGTTAGTTCAACCCAGCTGTGCAATGTGGGCACACTGTCGCTTGCAGGCATGTGACGAGTTCTACCACAAGATGGAGCTGGACGGGTTGCTTCTTCCATGTTTTGATTGACAGCTCATAATCATACCATATTGGTGGCCTTGCGAGGACCTGCGCATGGCATTGCACCAGGACAAGGAGGCGTGATCCATTTAGTGGCAAACGCTCTAATCAATAATTTGCCTTGGCATTGAACCTGCTGCCAGATCATGCGAAGGGAGCATCAAAAGGAAAAGGAGGCCTGCCTTACTTCACAAATTTTCTGCTAGTTAACTTCTGAAACATGGTCACATTCAGGCCCTGGAAGCAGAAATCAAGCGTCAAAAGAAGGCCTGGAATTTCCATGTTACTGATTTATTGACAAATCAGAAAAAACAAATGATTTTCAATCCGCTTGAGCGCTGTGATAGCGCTTTAAAAAACAAATGATTTTCAATCCGCTTGAGCGCTGTGATAGCGCTGTAATCGATGATGTTGTTGATGATGATGATGATGACGATGATGACGATGATGATGATGATGATGATGTGGACGACAACAGCTCAACTGTTTCAATGTTACTCCTAGAACGATGACGAAAACCTCCAGGAGTCCGACGAGACCTACAATATGATGGAGAAGGACAGGGTAGTTGAGTTCTTCACTTGTTGACTAAACTTTGGTTCTGCTCCAATTGCTGTGCCAGACCCTGCGCAGCCAATTCAGCAAGGAGAAGGAGGACTGCTTTTGGCCTGTGAGCTTACCTCAATGTCAAGTGTTTGTGGGTGTTTCGGCAGGTTCTGGTGCTTGAGAACCAGAAGCTCAAGCGCCAAGTCGCGCAGATCGAGGACATATTTAAAGTTGACATTGATTGGCAACCAATGTTTTCTGTCAGCCAACGGCCACTTCCAGCGCACCGCAGGATACAAATGCGCACTGCAAGTCCCAAGTCAAGGCACGAATTATTCATTGGTACTTACAACAAGATTTCTTTTGAAAGGGGTCCTCAAGGGAAATCTTGTTTTACTCAAAGTCAACATGTCTACAAGTTTTCCATCTTCTTACTTTGTTGCCCGCTAGGAAGTGACACGGCTGCTGGCAGAGAGCAACAAAGAGGTGAGGCGCCTTCAGGAGACGAGCTGATCAAGCTGAGGTTTCACTTACTTTTTTGGTCGCGTGAGCACTTCGCTTCAATTTTGTCAGGACCAGCGGGCAGCAATGGAAGCCGAGGCTGAACGCCAACCGGCCAAGAAGAAGGCAGGGGACTACTGTTACTTGAATCACTGAAAAAAAGTATTTCATTTTATGGCTTAAGTCTAGTCAAGACTTGACTCACTTAGTTTGCTTGACCTTGCAAGTGACAATGCGATAAACAAATCTGTCAGGAGAAGAAGCCCAAAGAGAAGGACAAAGACAAGGACAAGGACAAGGAAAAACAATGAGTGACTGTGGCGGCGGCGGCGATCTGATGGCAGACGTCTGGCATACCAAAATGATAGGCCCAGGTCCTCATAAATTCACTCCACGCATTAATGCTAATTTAGCACGGTCTAATGTCATTAGACAATGATCAGAACAATGATCAGAACCAGACATGCCATCGGTGTTAACCTGTGCTGGTACAGACTTGTAAGAGTCTCAGTTGGTGATTTCAAATTCATCAGTCATCGAAATTTAAACTCGTGCAGATTGATAAGACTCTCATTTAAGTTAAATCACCAGCTGATTGACGCACAACGAAGCCACTGCCACGCACCTGCCCGTTCAACATATATAATCATTTTTTATGTCAATCAAACATGAATAAAAGTCCGAAACACTGTCCAAAAAGATTAAGTTCAATCATTGTTTTCTTCTTGGTGGGTGTGTGGCATGAATTTTCAACCCAACTGCACTGACAGTGAAGCAGGCAGTGATAAAATAAGCCACCGAATCGAAGTTTTGCAAATGATTTCCAATCTTGGAATTGCCTGTCCCCTGTCGACACGTTTTTTCGAAGTATCCCTAACCCCCTGGTCCAAGGAGCTGATTGGCTCAATGCTCGTCTGTGTGTAGCGGGGCCTCAGAAAAAGACATAATGCGCTGGGATAGCGCAATGTGTGAATGAATGAATGGATGGATGAATGGATGGATGGGTGGATGATTGGATGAATGAATGAATGGATGGGTGGATGAGTGAATGGGTGGATGGATGGATGGGTGGATGAATGAGTGGATGAATGAATGATTTGATGAATGGATGGATGGGTGGATGGCTGGATGAATGAATGGGTGGATGTATATTTAAAGTTCCATGGAGGTCTCTGGAAAAAGTTCCATGGATGAATCAGTGGATGAATGACTGGATGGATGGATGGGTGGATGAATGAATGGATGGATGGGTGGATGGATGGGGGGATGAATGAGAGGATGGATGAATGAATGGGTAGATGAATACGCATGGATGGGTGGATGAATGGATGGATTGGTGGATGAATTGAGGATGCACAGTGTCAAGCACTTTTTTTTTGCGAATTATAGCTTTGACATGCATGGTAACGTGGATAGTCATTACTGAAAAAACATACTATTTAAATTTCCAGATCTATAATAATGAACCATTGAAAAATTGGAGTTAAACAAGTTTCCAATGCCAAGTCTTGGTCAAACAGTGTTGTCTAAGAAAATTGTTTTTGAACAGTCCCTAATTACACAAAAACATGATTTCAAATCAATGGCAATATTCATTTTCAATTGGATACCGATGGGTGCATAACTTAGTGGAGGTGGTTGATGACTGTGATGATGGTTGGCTATGATGAGTGATCATGGACAAATGATGGACAATCAAGGATGGCAATAACCTTACTGGCAAAGACAACCAAAAAAAACATAAAAGTCCATGCAGCACACGCTATCACAGCGCAACACGCTATCCCAGCGGAACCGAGCTGCATAGTACCGGCGCTATCCCAGCGCCAGTACTCTAACATCTAACGCTATCTCAGCGTCAGATTAACCACTTTACTGTTACTTATTACCTAATTTTTCAATTGGGCCATGCGCTATCTCAGCGCACAGCCAATGACAAAAAAGGAGGAACATAACAAAATAGCAAAAAATACGGTAACTCAATCTTCATCTGAGACACTGTGTCAGTGTCATCCATGGCTGCAGCAATTGGCATGGCTGGGCTTGGCTGGGGTTGTTTTGAAAAAAAATAGGAAATGCTGTATTTGTTGCTCGCCCTGCCCCCCCCCAAAAAAAATGACATGATGTTCTTGTTCCCTGCTGTGAGTGAGCGGCGAGTCACTGAATTTGATTGACTAAGCACGCTATCCCAGCGTCCACTGCCGACAATAATAAGCCAAACAAAACAATACAAGTCAGTGCCAAACCTCACTAAGTTTTCTGGTTTCATTGCGCAGCATAAATTTAAAAGACTGAGTTCTTCTTACATTGTCATTTCAATAAGTATGACATTTTTCCAATTTCCAAAAACATCCGCAGATAAGACAGTACGACTATGTTGGCCCTTTGTCTGGCTTTGTCTTTGGGATTTAGCCAAAGAGGTGGCCTGGGTGGCACCAGACCACTTAAAACCCCTTCACATACAAAACATCAGGTTTTACAACATGCTCTCACTCACATACTCTTGTGGCTGTGAAATGCTGCAACCTAGACGTGCCGCCTCATCTTATCCCAGTGTCACTTTTAATCGATGCGCTGATTGGGAACCCCAGGCTCAAATGGAGGCTCCCTGAGCCAAGGTGCTAGAGAAGTCTATTGTGGTACACCATGGTTCATCATCCCTGGCATGAAGAATGCATTAGAATTTATCATCCCCGTTGGGCGTTCAACTTAGGGTGCAGCCCCAAGTTTTCATCCCAAACACCTAGTTTAACAACCTATAGGGCTAAGGAATGAGCAAAAAGTGAAAAGATGAAAAGCTGTTCCCACCCCTCTTTCTGAAAATGAAAGATCCAGGTACAAAAGATTAAACCCTGCGTGTCTGGGGTATGTTGAAAATCGAAAAATAAAATGGCACAAGAGATGAAAACTGCAGTGCCCAACATGTGTTCCAAAAAATACCTTAATTTATAAAATCATAATTTCCCCACAAGACGCTTCGGCTCAACAAATGGCCCAACATAAGCCGAAAACCAACCCCAACCGAACCATGCTTCACACATGTTTCCACACATGTTTCACTCACACACTCGTGCTTAAGCACCAGCAAGACGAAGTATATGCTTCATCTGTAAACTTAGCCACAACGTCTATACACAAAAAGTTACAGGCACCATGAGGACAAGCTCCTACAAAAGAGCGAAAAAAATTGGAGGCTTGTAACGCTATCATGAAAGAAGTCACATCAAACAGCTCAACCTACTAATGCTACATCAGTGTCAGTCAAAATATTTTTGTACCTCTGGTGACAAGCCTCGTTCGACTATTCGAATTTCTCAACGACTCCTAGATATAAAGGACAAAAGGAAACGCATCCTAAGCCGCTTCTATCAAGCCCCGTGGCCAAAACGTGCAGCAACCCCTGCACGACAGATCTTAGCTCGCTCTTGAAACTGAGCCACTTTTGTTCGAATTGCGGCTGGAGGCCCGAGCTCCAAGATCTCTCTGGGCGGTGCCCGAAGTAGTAGCATGTCATCCATCGTCGTCACACGGGAGAACATGACATACAAATGCAACCACCAGTTCTCATCATCCATTTCAGGTAAACGCGCACAGTCAATGATGGTGCCTTCTCGAAGAGTCAGACCTTGCGAGCCAGTGCTCGTGAAAAAATTGGCATGCGTGATTCGAAAGCCACAGCGGCGGACATCATACTTCTGCGAACTATTCAATTGAATCACCACTTCTTCTGCCGGAAGAAACCAAAAACTTTTCGCTAATCTTTCAGCCTCTTGATAGTTCTCGATATGCGCTGTGCAACGGGCAAGTAAATCTTCATAGCCAGAGCATCCTTGATATCCATCAACAGCCACCCAGAGACCCGATGGGAGATATTCCGGAGAAAACAACTCGCCGCCTTTGCATTGACGATACCGAGCCCGATCGTTGGATTGAAATTCACAATCCATGATCGTGGCCAATGTGTCCTGCACCATGCCCTTATCTGCATCGAGCTTTGCAACCAGTCGAATCCGCATGCCAACATGACAAGGGAATAGTCCATGCATATGCCCCGTTTGATACGGGTTCGGCCGGTTCAAAAAACGAAAAGCAACGTCCCTTTCCAAACCCGATGCATTGTCAGCAGCTTGCAGCAATACCAACGGCTGATCCGCCTGCGCTGCATCCAACAACGCTCTACGGTACATCATCCGCACCAGCGACGCCCAGTAGATCGACATGCAGTAGCCTCGCCGAAAACGAGGCAAGTTGAATCGTTCATCTGGATTCCCGGATGTAGTGTTGCGAGCACAACGCTGTTGAAAAGCATTCCAAATTGTGTCCGGCAGACGGTGTCCTTGGCGCATGCATTGCAATAAGTCAATCAGAGGATCTCCTGGCTTGAACCGCATGGTGCCGCGCAGCTCAAAAACGTCTGGAATCTGCGCAAACACTTTCTGGGCATGCTGTACTTCTGCAGGCACATCAGCGTGCTTCCAGTTGCCATGCTCATCCTGCGCCATCAAATCATCCAACAAAGAGAGCTGCGCAGTCGGCCGCAATTGAAAAAAGTCGCCCAAGTGCAAAACAATCGGCACACGTCCGAAGGCACAGCCTGTCTTGGCATACGTGTTTGGATCCACTCCAAACACCAAGCGGCGACCAAGCATGGCGCGAAAGTCTAGCATGTTGTAAAGAAGAGCCGAGACCATGCTGATTTCTTCCACAACTAAGACACGCACAGAGCTCCACAGCTTCTGCAAACCTTTCTCGTTGGAGCCAGCAGCCTTTCATGTTGCTGTTGGTTAGGCTTTGTACTCCGAGCAAGGATGCGCCGTGTAAGGTCTTGGCGCGGACAGTGTCAGTGGAAATGTTCTTGGCCTGCGCATTTTTGGCAGCAACAACCATCAAGGTAGACTGTTCTCCCTCCGAAGGCCACATGAAGTGCACCACAGGGAATACAACGTTCTGCACAATGTGCGTCTTGCCTGAGCCCCCTTGGCCGAGCAACAGCATGTGATAAACATGCCGCTTCTCTGGGGCAGTTGTGTTTTCTTGTGCGTACACCGTGTCCAACACCTCCGCAAATCTTTGAATGAAACAGTCCTGATCTTCATTCAGTCGTTGCTTCGGCGGCAATGCAGCAACTAGATCTTTCACAAGATCGGAAGGTTTCTCGTAGACATTCTGAGTACTGAAGCGAACACACTGGGCAGGTAACCGTGGCAAAGCTTTCTTGAGAGATGCATGCACAATTTCTTCACTGGAAGGCTGCTCTTTGTCTTCGTCGTCTTGCACCAAACCATATCGACACGATCCCAAAATGTCCGCACGTGTGTCCTCACATGCAAGCACCCCTTCTCAAACCCAACCTTTTCAAAGCAACCTTCTCGAACGATCTACACCATCCCCTTTTTTCTTTAGAAACCAAAACAAAAAACCAACTTGTAGTCCCCAAAAATGGTTCTGGTCTCAGACGAAGCCACTGCATTCCAACTTTGGAGCTCAGCAAAAACATCATGCAGCGAGTGACGTGTCGAATTCTGAAGTTTGCATGCATCGGCGAAAGGATCTTCCTTCGTCCAGCTTTGTGCAAGGAAATCTTTCACATATTGATTGTGTCGAGCTTGAAATTGAAAAAGTAGCAGTTTCTTCTGTTCTTCCATATTCGGTCGAAAAGATATCTTCTGAAAGACTTCATCAGGCCGAAGTGTTTTTTCTGGAGGCAGTTCATCATGCTCAGGATTGTCCCCAGCATTTTCGTCATCTTTTTCGCCCGCAGTGGTCACTTTCACGAACTCCTCCAACAACTCAGCATCAACATCCCGACTTCTCTTGTGACGTTGTTGCCGGGCCCGAGCCAAACCTACCGGATGTGGCTATAGTCTAACACAAACGAATTAAAACAGTGTTGCTCTTCGTCAAACATCTACTGCACAAAAAGAAGCAAAGTCGAAAGCAACAGACAGAAAGCACAGATTATCAGATTTTGCAGCCCAGCCTTCCAAATGCGCAACTCGACTCTCTGCCAACATGGAAGAATATTGCTCAACAGTTGCTCGAGGCTTCTCTCGATCCGGATCTAATATCAGCTGCGGCAAATCTTCGCCCATGACCATTTCCAGTTTCCATCGAAGGGCCTCAACCATTTCTTTTGTTTCCCACAGAGAAGGATATTCAAATCGAGCTGCAAAACGATAACGAGCCGTGGCTGCTTCCTTCGTCATCTCTTCTTCCCATTCCAGATAAGCTCGTGTGAAAGCAGTCGTAGCTGCAATGGAATTGTCCATGCCTGCAGAGCCCTTGGTATAGGAGATGAAAAAAGCGCAAAAGCTTTCAGGACCAACTCCTCCTGGCTCAGTTCTTCGCCTTCGACAGGCAGAATGCGAGTTGGCCGGCATTGTATCTGCTTGTACATGGCATTCCGCTCGCTGTCCACAGTCAGAGGTGGCATAGTAAACCCTTCAAACATTGGTACACGAGGTTCTGAGCAGATCCGCTGAGCATGAGAATTGTAGAGCTTGTAAGCCGGATCAAAATAAACATCAATGTACCGTGGCAGGACGCCTCTGACCGACTTCTCCGGACGAGCAGGCAACTCGATACGATAGACCCACGTGCCATAGGTCGCCCAACTCATTCCTGCCAGCAGTTCTGAGTCACCGCGATACAAATAATCCTCCAAACTGCTTGTAGTAACAGAAAGGTACTGAGGCTGAGAGACGGTACTAACACCTGCAGTCACTGCGACATCCTGACCAGTTGCTTGCAAAGCTCGCAAATTCGTGGCAGCACCCTCACCGTCGCCACTGCGATCCACATTTTCGGTCACACTATGCATTTTCAAAAGCTCTTCTGCAATCGACAACCTCTGTCGCGAATTGCGCTTCTGTGCTGCCTGCGCTTCAAACTCCAAGAAGGCGTCAGCTAAATTCGTGCAAGCTTGCCCACCCGGTCCAATGTAGACATACGACGTCTCGCCGGTTTCATCATCAATGCGGGCAACTTTCCGCCAGCCGGCCAAAACCACATCGTCCACACCTGCTCTATGAAAAATCACAGGATCATTGTGAGCACTCTGTGCATCGACACAATGGAGCACACTGTCACCATACTGTTTTCGCCAAGCAGTAACACAGAAAAAAAAATGCTTTCTTCACAAACAGCTTCCAAGTACGATGCGACGCAAACGTCAAATGTTCGTACAATAAAGGAAAAATCAACTCAGCCGCACTCTTCCAATGACAGCGTCTGTAGGAAGACGACAGGCGGGTCAACGTCTTCATCGTCTCAGAAAACATAACTCCACGACGTCCGGGAATGTGTTCACCTGCATCTTGTGCAGCTTGTTCTGCACGGCTCCTCTCCTCGTTGCGCTCCTCCCGCTCCATTTCCAAGCGCTCAATGCCTGCGCTCCGAACAGTTTCACTCCACAAACACACTACAACGCGAAACCAAAAAAAAACGAGCGAAAAACACAACCGCAACCAAAACCAAATTCAATCCTGACTTGCATCATCTTGGTCCCGCCTTTGCGCAACTCCTCTAACATTCCAGCCCAGCCAGGCCCAGGCTTCGTCGTGTAGCTGTTGATGTAAAACCCGCTATTGATACCATCCGCAAAAGCGTCACTCACACCGCAGCGAATCGCGCGAACAAAGCCGCGATCGGCAACATCATCTTCTGTTTGTGTTGTGCCCGTTTCCCCAGTTACTGCTCTCTCATGAGCTGCCAGCCAAGCTTTGCGAAAATCTTTGCCCAGCGAACGAGTCCACAACCATGATACCGGCTCAGTGGGAGATCCAACTCGTTCTTCATACTGTCCGGCAGCCCACTCATATTTGGCCATGTAACCCAATTGCTGCGTGAAGCCGACGTGTGGCAAAATGTCGCCCTCCTCTGTCCACAGCTTCATGTCCAAGACTCTTCTCATGTCTTATGTCTTGAAGATCCAGGTTGTGTCGGCCAGCCACAAGACCACCAAAAGAAGTCTGACATTCGAATGGACTCAGCTGAATTGGGCGTAGACGTCCAGCCATTCCATATTCAACCTCCAGTTCACTACCGACATGAACGCAAGGACATAGGGCCTTGCCTTTCCGTCTGACTCTGCAACCTTCTGTAACATGCACCACATGGTAAAAACCGTGCCGACAAATACGAAATTGGGCAGAGCTCTTGTCCGAATACTTGAAGCACGAATCACTGCAAACGTGTCTCAGCAAGGCTGGTAGAAGGTTGTGCAGATCCTGCAAGATTGGCTTTCTACAACTTCACTTTCATGAAGTCTTGCCAAATTCTACAACTTGAAACATCGGCAAGCAAAGCGTCTAGTAATGCAGCACGTCGACATGTAATTAAAACATGTTCGCATCAAATTGGCCGGACAGATCAATTACATCGTTGCCTCTCTTCATATCAGACATCGCCATGTTTAATCTCTTTGAACAAAATCAACCACATCAAAGACATGTGCACAAGTTACGCGCAGGCCCGCCTGCGCAAATGCCGTCTGCCATGCTCGCGCTTCTTCTTCTGGAGAAGCGCCTTCCACCAGCACACTGCGCAAACGATATGCAGGCGTCTGTGCCACTGGCAAGCCATTGATAGGCTGTGTGAAAATGTTCCTGGTTGGATTGGCCGCCTCCTCGACCTGCAGCAACGGTTGGCGCCAATCATCGTCCCGAGCAGCTTCCAAAAAAGCATCTTGCTCCTGAGTCCTCTCCAGCATCTCTCGCAACAAGTCCAAGTCACTGCCGCCATCATACTTGGACAAGTTGCGAGCAACCTTCGTGACAGCAACCGGTGTCGAAAGGCTGGCGCCATCAAAGATGCGAGGAGCTGCTTGGACAGACGCATGGGACAACGATTCGAAGCTGGCCACAACCATTTTCATAAAGTGACGTAATCGATGCTGCAATTCGGCCTTGTTATTCTTCAACATGCTGGCAAGTTGGCCTACCACCTCCAAATGGCCGCATACAAGCCAAACCAAAATATGTGGATGCAAAGAGGCGCGGCCTTGAGCTTCGATTTCACCTCTGAAGGCAAGCACGGGTCCCAGCATTCCAGCGCCGGTAGAAGATGCAGCGGCGCCATCACTGCACCATTCCCGCGAGACCGTGCGGACACCACCTCTGCGACAATCCAGCGTTTCTGGTCGCACATTCAAAACATGTTGGAAAAATAATCGCATCAAGAACTCAAATTGTACCGTTTGTGCTACAGGATCTTGCGCAATCTTTCGCAGCATGTCTCTGTACTTCGGCAACGAGGGGTCCATTTCCTGATCCACGGACCCAAGATCCACCGCTTCGCCTTGTACAACCAGCAGCAATGGATGCTGCGTGTCCGCCAGATTGGGCGTCAAGAAAATGAGCGGCGGTCCAAACGTCTCCATGTAGGCGACTCCTTCGTGCCGGCACTGCCTGCGATGACCATCGCTGCCCAAGACCGTGGCCGAAGCGCTTTGCATCGCTTGCAGAGCATCCTTGACAGTTTTTGGCACACTGGTATTTTGCAACAATTGCTGCACAGAATCACCAGAGGAAGGATCTACCACCCGTGCCGCCGATGCCAAATCATCTGCTTTCAGAGCACTCAAAGTCTTGGCAAAGGCCATGCCACCATTTCGTAAAAATTGGTATGAAGCATTGCGCTGATCTGTCAAGCGACAAACAGTGGACATCATGTGCAACGCAATCCAATCACCACTGAAACGGTTACTCACTACCGGAGCAACATCATCGTTGTCAACAGCATACTGCAACTCCTGCCATGTCGACACCACACCGCCCCAAGACAAAAAGAACAATCATTCATCCACAACCACTCCAACATCTATTTCTTACTGTGCTATGAAAACGGTATGTTAATTGCCTGAAGTAAAACGACCGGAATCCACACAGTGTCAATTTGCAAGACGCATCAATGACACCATAAACGCATATCCATGTGCATATAAATTGTCAAACGAAAGAAAAAAGAACAAAAAACAACCAGCTTCGCCCCGCGCCTCTCGAAGCAAAAGACACGCCGCCCATTCTCGGGTGGACAATGCTTCCTCGCGATCAAATAAATTGCCAGCATCACCATATCTCCAAAGCTTCGGTTTCGCCATCGTCCAAATCTTCCAGTCAAATAAACTCAGCGGCTTCTTCCCGCGAGCTACCAACAAATGCTTCGCAGCACGTCCAGAATCTGCATCTTCCTGAACCGGTTCTTCATTTGAAGTTTCGGACGGTAACAGCCAACGCGACTTGCCCATGACAGCATCTCTCAACTCCATCCCCAACTTCCTGCGCGCATCGGGAGCAGATAGTTTCCGACAGGTTTCCTGCACTTCATCACAGAGTTGCAAAATACGTTGACGACCAAGATGATCAACCAGCGTTGTATCTTCTCCCATCAATGTAGCAAGCTCGACTGACACCGAGCGAGCACCAGCCGATTCGAGTTCATCAATTTTCTCTAACAAGGAAACTACCTTGGTGTTTACATCAGTATTTTCTTCATTGAAATCTTTCACCTCCGATTCCAAAGCAAACACTGTTTCATCTTGTTGCACCTGCACGTGCTCAGCTGTGGCGTCCGCCGGCCCCTCTTGTCTCATGATGCCAGGACCATCTTCACCAACAGGAACCGTCACCACACAATCCAGAACCACCGGTGGAACTGCCTCATCTGCATCTTGCAGCCATTCCGTGAGCAGCTCTCGATTGATCTCAGCCACGCCGGCAGCATACACGCCATTAGTTTTCTGAAGAGCTTCAGCTTGCTCAAGAAACAAAGCCTTCTTCAACCGCAACTCCACAATCTTACTGACGGCTGCTCGACCAGCTTCTTGGCCTTCGTGTGGCAAATCTGTGCAGAAGGTGATGGCCATAGCGTCGTTGAGCTGCCGAGGAGGCAAGGATTCCACTGCATGCCTGGCATCTCCATTGTGAAACAAGACAGATGACCCGACGTAACCACTCTGATGAAAAGCAGCATCCCACTGATTGCCATTGCTGGCACCGTTCTGGTGTGCTCCGCCAGCTCGGAGGACAACTTTGGTCGCCACAGTTCTGGCTAGGGCAAGGCACATCTCGTGGGTCATGTTCGCCTGCCAAAGAAGTGGATCAGGCCGCCCAAGCCAAAGATCGTTGGCCAGCGAAAACTTACACAGCTTGGGTTGCTTCGGAGCAAATGCATAATAACAATCTCGACACACAGATGCAGGAGAGTTGCCGCAAATCATGTCACCGTCCACTCGACGCTTGTGTAGTAGCACTTGAACTTTCTGTCCGAAGCTGTCGTATACCGATACGCTGCTGGCCAGCAATTCTACTTCTGGTATCAAAGGCCATCGTTCCTTGTAGCGCTCGACTGATAAGAACTTCCAGACAGCATCAGGATTCAACATAAAACATTGCTCTCCTGCGATGAATACTTCCCAGAGTTCTTCTTTCCAAAAAGATCGGGCACAAAAGCAACAGCCCAGGCGGCAACGAAGTGAAACATCGTCCGCGCCTTCCCAATCTATTCTGGCCTCCCGCAGAAAGGTTGCATAGTTTCGAACATACTGACGAACCTCACTGCCAACAACCACGTGAGGAGACAAAGACTCCAACATGAGCATAGCATTTCTATACCGTTGCAAGCCGCCATGCTTTTCGTCAATATGTTGTAGCAATGCAGAACGATCACCAAAATCAGCTTCGCACAACAAGCAAGGCTGCTGGGACATGCTCACGGCCATCTCCGGCCATTCTCGCAGTTGTTCTTCAACTGCGGCTCGAAAGAGTCCATGGTTGGCCTTGAAGCGCTTGAATGGGTGGTCTTCCTCTGCCCAGGGGTCTTGTCTGCTACCATCCATGTTTGCAGCGCCGGCACTACCAAAAGCAGTTCTTTGCCGCCTCCGGCTGTCAAGACGCTGGTCCTTTCTCCCACTACGCTGTTGCGTTCTTCCAGTACGCTGTTGCGTTCTTCCAGTACGCTGTTGGGTTCTTCCAGTACGTTGTTGTTGCTGCTTTCTTCCAGTTCGTTTCCTCACATCTCTCTTGCGTCTCTTGGCCACCCTATCCGGCAAAGCGCCATCTGCAGAAAGTTTCCGTTTGCGACGCCTTTGGCGTTCCTGTCGGCGCAATCGTTCGCCCAATGCAAAACGGCCTACATAGCCCATGTGATCCAGGCAACGATGTGATCCAGCATTTCGGCAAGGCTCATCATGTCCAGATTTTGTAGCACGACCTGCCTCCAAGACAGCCCGTGACAAATGCGAGGGCAAACATCGTAGTCGTGCAATATTGCCGTATGGCGTCAAAGCAGGCGGTGCCAAAAGACTTCGTCTTCGATACTTTTCCAAAAAAATCAACGTTGGCCACATTGTGGACACATCAGCAGGACCAGTGACAATGGAATCATCGCATTTCCACCACCGTCCACCGCATCGCACGAAGGCAATGAAATGTCCATTCACATGTTGTACAAAACCGGACACCAAATACTTCGATCCCTGCACCAGCGTTCAAATTAAAAACACACTGAAGAGAACTTCAACAAAGTACACCCAAACGTGAACCAACGAGATTAAGCATCTCTAAGTACATTCAAACGTGAAGATCAACAAACGCGAACCTGAAACATTTCCACGCACACACGCCTGAAGAACGACTGGAGAAATAAGCAATTGGGACCAATTCATAGAAGCTCCAGGGAATTGATGCATTTGTAGGATCACAACCTCTGCTGTTGGCCAGCTACCATGTCCTAATTTTTTCTGCATTACCTCCTCCACAGTGACAGTTCGTTCCGACACATCCCCAGGCAAATCCACCATAACCCGGAGCTGCTCTTCTGGCTGTCCTTCACAACACACCCCATTTCAGAGAGCAGTCGTTAAATTCTGCGGGGACACTATTAATGTACTAGCAAAACACATCCACGAGACAAAGAAGAAACATCCCAGGGAGCAGTCTTTATTTTTTTCTCCGGGGGCGATCTTCACTTTGTAACAGCAAACCGTTATCTTTTGATGCCTGAATCATACATCATATCCCCTTGATCCCATACCCTTGACTCCATGTCCTGTGTCTGTGCCCCTTGGTGCCACCAGGGAATGCTGGGACAACGTCTTCTCCAGCAACAGTGCCACCGCATCAGCCGCATCAGCGCTCTCACCCGCAGAGACGAGATCCGCCCGGGTCAAGTACATTTGATGCAGCAATTCAAAAGGAGCCACATAATCAAAATCTCTGCTGCGTAACTTGACCAGCGTCGCTGTCATCCAGTGCCTCAGCGGACCTTTCTCACACGTCTGGTCCAAAAGATCTCTAGCCAACGGGCCACAATGGAGAAAACATTGCAAAATTGAATTGAGCCAACAGCTGTTCCCCAAATTTCTCAATCCGCTGATGGGAGCAGCATTGTCGAAGCCGCCGGTACCCACCGGACGGCTGCCAGAATCCAAGCGCCACTGCAGGCCCATGTCGTGCAACCAACGAGCATCGATTCTCGAAGCGAGGCTCTCTGCCAACTGATATTCAGACACTAGCAGCTCGCACACACGCATGACACCAGCATTCTCAGGCTTGCTCGCCTGGCTTCTGTATCTTTCACGCTGTCTGCGTGGCAAAGCAGGAGGGTTCAGCTGACCCAGGCAGACCTTCAAATGCTGCAATGGGAAATCGTCCGACAATCCACTCCCGTCTGCATGCAGTCAATTGTCGCAAAACGCGATCCACTTCCTGCTGGGACACCTGCAAAGCATCCGCCACACGACGGGCATCATCCTCAGCAGCAGATTTGTCTCTTCTGGTGAGGCCATAGCGCCGGTTCTCTTTGGTTCCACACCGGACACGCCAACCACTGCTATGTCTCTCCACCATGACTATTTGGTCATGTGCATCGCCGACACCTTCTGTTGTCAGCTGTCGAAAGACTCGATCAGCTTCCTGCGGGGATACCCGGAAGGCATCTGCCACACGCCGGACATCTTCTTCCGCCGCGGCTTTATCCCTTCTCGTGGGACCATAACGCCTATCGCTTTTTGTCCCAGAACGAAGACGCCAGCCAGTGCTGCATCGCTCTACTGTGGGCATCTTCTCTTGTGCGTTAGTCGTGGCCAGATTCCGACATCTCTCTCGCAGCGCTTCCACGGAAACGGCTGACGCTTCATCGAGACTTCTAGAATCCTCTTCCGCAGCTTGCACGCTTTGACGCAGAGGGCCAATGAACCATTGACCAGCATGCTTCTTGCGCGCACGCCAACCATTGCTGTGGCTTTGCACGGGCATGGTTTGCTACAGCAGATTCATGCAATTTTGACATGTGACATATCACTGAAATTCCTTTTGTTTGCTTGTTTCCCTACGTGGATAGCTATGAGATATGAAAATCAAATTGATAAAACCTTGAATTTTGGTAAAACCTTCCAAGCACAATGGGCAAGTAGCTTCGAGTGCCGGAAGATTTCCAAAATTGTTCCGCGGAACAGCTGCTGTGACAACCTTTCTTACTTGTTTCCGTCCTCTAATATTTTAATAGTATGTGTTCGCCTCAAGGTGTGAAATGAAATATGTGTGCCCCTAAACTATACGTGCGAAAAACTTCCGCTTGCCGTCTCAAGCCGAAAACACAAAGGCAATAAGTAATAAGGCTGCAACCAAAGCATATCCAAACATGACAACAGGTGAAAAAACACTGTCGAACTGTCCGAACCAAGTCCAATACAATATGCAAAGAGACACACCGAAGCAATTCCAATGCCTCATCATGTCAACCGCAGTGCTCGGCAGGTGCGCGATCTGGCAAGACACTTTAGTTTCTAATCTGTGCACGTCAAACACCGAGCAGTCTGACACACGTGAAACAGGCCGCCTGAAGGCGACAAACCGGTCAGCGCAGGAAATCCAATCCGATTCGAAAAGACGAGTCAAAGCGGAGACATCTGCTACACCGGAAGTTGCACGGACATGCACACGAGAGCAACCGATTGAAGATATCGAAAGCACTGGCAGAGTGAATGAGAGTAGCAAATTGTCCGTGGCAAAGCTGAGACGATGTTCTGAGAAGGGTGGAAACTGCGTCATCTGCTACACCGGGAGTTGCACGGATGTGCACAAGAGAGCAACCGATTGAAGATATCGGCAGCACCGGCAGAGTGCATGAGAGTAGCAGATTGTCCATGGCAAAGCTGACACTGAATGGCGCAAGCCATGTATATCAAACATGCCAGGCCGACGTCAAAACATGCCACCTGAAGGCCAAAAATGCTAGCTAAAACATGGCAAGGAGACGCAAGCTATCTATCATGTATGTCAAACCTGCCAGGGCGACGGCAAAGCTGAAACTGAATTTGAGTGAGCCAAGTATGTCAAACCTGCCAGGCCGACGTGAACATGCAGCCTGCAGTCCAAAAATGCCAGCTAAAAAAAGGCAGGGAGACGAATGGCGTAAGCGATGTATATCAAACATGCCAGGCCGACGTCAAAACATGCCACCTGAAGGCAAAAAATGCACATCTAAAACATGGCAAGGAGATGCAAGCTATCTATCATGTATGTCAAACCTGCCAGGGCGACGGCAAAGCTGCAACTGAATGGAGTGAACCAAGTATGTCAAACCTGCCAG